TCCCTATTCGCTTGAACTTATCAACCTGGCTTATCAACTATGGTACAGTGTTTTCTCTCACAATATAACAGCTTCAGCTCGCTTATCAGCCACGAAACCATAAGCCGAACAGCTTGACGTTGTCGATAAAAAGGAAAAATGAAAAGTCTCGTGGGAGCGACGGGAGGATAATGTCGGAAAAAAATCTGAATGACAGGTGGGTCCAACTAAACGGTAGCTAACGTCGTTAGATCTACTATCCATTCTATTTCTATTTATCTCTTTAACCAAACACAAAATAGGTATATCCCGTCTCTTATCAAACAAACAGCATGTCCCCGTCCCCTACCAAGAAATCAGAGACAGGATTGACTCACTCCACCTTAACTCCCAACCAAACGCTAAAACACATTTGGTACCTTTACTCTTTTAACAAAAAATTAGGTTCTAGGACCGTTTATAAGTTAGCTTTTATAAAACTCGACTCAGGCCATATTTAGATGCATATGATTAATTATTATTAGTTATCGAGTTTTTAGTCCGAATTAGCAGTAGTCCATCCTAACTGAAGTTTAATATGGTAGCCAAACTTGAAGCAACTAGTTATTAGTCAATCAACTGGTCAACCCAGCTAATATGGACTAAGCCCCAACTAATAACTAGTTCTAGTCAATCTAAATAGGCTCTCAAAAAGATAAATGCCCTGTTTGTTTGGCTGATAAGTCATGGCTGAAAATACTGTTGGCTGATTTTTGTGAGAGAGAAATATTATTCGTTGACTGAAAAAATATGACTTATAAGCCAAACAAACCGGACGAAAGAAGCTAAACTAAAACTCGACAAAAAGCCTCGGCAAAGAAAACCATACGAGACAGAACCTAACCAAACCAAACCACTGTTGATGTCACGTTGTGACTATCGTAGCATATGATAGGGTTTCTTTCACAAATGGTTTCACCTAAGAAGTCAGACAAACAAAAAACATATTTAAGTTGCTTCACCTTTCTAGTAAAAAAACAGTTTATTAGCTATGCTGCTTCTTTGTAGAACCATTTTATTATGAGCTAGAGCTTGCCAGGGTTTCATCCGGAAAGCTAGAGAAATTGGAGTTGAAGTCACTCGAGAAGTCGAACCTATATACCTTATAAAAAAACAATAATCCATATACTATTTCTATCTCAAAATAAGTGTCGTTCTCGCTTCTAAAAAATCAAACGTTATTAGCTTTAATCAAATATATACAACAAAAATATTAATATCATAACGATACTTATTTGGGGATGGAAAATATATACTATATATACCTTTATTTCTAGGACAGTCGGACTAGTACTAGACTACTAGTGAGTCCAGTGAGAATGAGAATCAAATCGCATCTATGCTCCGGGCCGTTTTGTTAAATCATATATCATCCTTTATATAATCTAATCACGTGATAACCTCTGGCGTCTTCATATCCATCCATAAATTTTTATGTTATGTTATGTGACGAGATCATGAGAATAATATAACATACAGTACGGAGGACTTGTCTATCTAGTCTAGTAGGATGGGAGCCCTTTCCGAGTGGCACCACCGCTGGACCGGAGTAAGACTAAGGAGTACTTTGTTGGCCGAGACAATGGCTCTGTTCAATGGAACTTATTAACTGTACCGTTTCAGCGAAATAATAGTGTTTTTCTCTCGCAACAAATCAACATCAGCATCAGCATCAGCTGTTTTTTCAGCCAGCCGAACAGGACCAATAGTAGAGAGACGTACACAAGAGTGGGAGGGTGAGGTCGATGCTTTAAACTATTCATTTTAGGTCATATTCGGTTGCACATCAATCTATATACGTTGATATGATAGGCATTGGAGCGGATTGACGTGCTGGGGAACAAAACTTTAGTTACATTCTAAATCTTTTTTTATAGTCTCTAAGAGCATCTCCAACACTTTGGTGAAACATGCACAATCTTGGTTCTTTTAGCGGGATGAGTAAAAACCTTACTGTTTGTGCTCAGAAAAAAAATAGAGACATCTAAGCACAGATACGAAGACAACCATTGTTCTCTATCGAGGGACAACTATTTTTTTCTTCGACACTCTATTGCCCGATCACTATCACCAGCTAGAGGTTTGCCGGGATTTAATCTCAGACCATTATATAAGAATACTGAGAAGTAGAGAAGATAATGGAGATTCTGATTTATATGTTTTTGGCTCTGAGTTCGGGTATCGGGATGGCCGATAACAGTCAGCCATAGACGCAGGAGCAACCGTCGATAACGTCCGGGAGGTTCACTGCAACGGATCGCCGACCACTATTTACTAGATCTGAGAAAAACAGAAGTCGTAGAGTTAGGAATGAAGATTTCGTTTTGAAGGTTCTAGGGGTGAGTTGGGTGGTGGAATAGGCTGTTGACAATGATATCGCGGTGGCATGGGCTGTGTGATCAAAACCTTCAAGTGAGTCTGCTTTTTATTTTCTTTAAGTAAATTGTTGATGATGGTATTTTTAAATTTCCAATATTTGTTTAGAAAGATTGACCGTTGGAAATACTCTAAGAAAAAATAAACAATGTTTTATTAATTTCTCTGTAAAATATGGAATACGACATGATGGTACATGAGATGATCCTTTGTTTTTATCGGTAATGCTCCAGTTCGGTCGTCCGTCCGCACGGACCCTGCCCGCGTCGCCCGCTCTGTGACGAATCCTGCCCGCACCGCGCCCCGTAGTCTCTCGCCCGCTTTGGAACGAACCATGTTGTCTCCATTCTTCAAAAAAGAAATTCACCGCTGCGAGCGCCATGGCATCCCCTCAAGTGCGTCGTAGCCTCTCCTCCTCCCCTCCCCTCTATGGATACAGTGGCACCCCTCCTCCACGTGCGCCTTCTCTCAAATCCGGTAGCCTCCACGACGTCCCCTCCTCCCACTCCATGGCGGCCACGACCCTCCCCCGCGTTCCACCGGATCTGGCCAGCGGGCTCAAGCAAACCATTGGCGCGCGGCCGGCGGGCTCAAGCAAGCCACTGACCCTCCCCCTACCCCGGTCGGCGGTGCCCTCCCCAGATCCGGCAGCGTCTCCTCTTCCTCGGCCGATGGCGAGCATGGCGAGGGTGTGCAGGCGCGCACCATCCAACGAGCCTGCGCCACCGCAGTTGCCCACCAGGTAGGTCATGGCTGCACAGCGATGCTATGTTTCAAGTGTTTCTGGACGTTTTTTCAGACATATTGCAAGCCCATGTTTCAAGTGTTTCAGTTATTTCATATGTATGTTTCATTTTTTCGTGTGTATGTTGCAAAAGTAGATTGCGATGTTGCAATGGTTGTATACGTATGTTGCAAGCGTTTATCCCAATGTTTTATCTGTTTTTTGGTATACGTATGTTGCAAGTGTTTTAGACACATGTCTCAAGTGTTTCATCTGTCTTTTTTTATGTTGTAAGTGTTGCATCTGGATGTTTTAAAAGTAGATCGGGATGTTGCACATGTTGCATTGGTGTTTTAACTGTGTGTGTTCCAAATGTTCCATCTATTTTAGACGTATGTTGCAAAGGTTTTATCTGTATGTTGCAAAAGTAGATCGGGCGTTGCACGGCGTGTCCGGTGGCTGTCGCTGCTGCGGGGGCGTAGCCATGCGTCAACCCACGTGGGTTTCCCCATGTGGGGCGTGGGGTGGGTGTGGGGGCACGGGTCCATGCGACGGACGTGGGCGTGGGGGGGACATCCAGATGCAATGTCCCGTCCAGACGTCCACACATCCGGGCGATAGGCGTTCCGTTGTTTTATCCCTCCCTAATAATAGAGAGTCAAAATTTCTGCTTTACTTTTTTTTTCCTCTTCATCTGCTCCGGTTTTCTTGTATATTTTTTCCTGGTCGAGGTTCTATCCGTATTCTTTTTTCCGTTCCAGTCCGTCGCCGCGGTAGCCGTATCTACTTCGAGTCTGCGTTCCGCCCGTCCACCTCCTTTACTACGACAAATCCGGCCCAAACCAACTCAACTCAAACGATCAACGGATAAGGCCACAGTGCGCGTTTCATCTTACTGTTTTCAAGACACATGTGTTAAAAACAACGTAGACAAGTATCATCCTCATGAAACTCATTTCATCCCATAAAATGTTTTTCATTTCTCTCCTCATTTATACTATACCACATCAACTTATTTAATGCCTATAAAACTCATAAAACTTGTAATGAGACTAATCGGCCACCCGTCCGCACGGACACACTCCGTCAAAATAGCAAAGCATCAAAGTAGCAAAGAATATAAAAATAATAATACTCTCTGTCAAAGTAGCCGGCTTGCCCAACATTAAATTGAATAATAATATACTTGCCCAAATTAAATAATAATATATTATATAGAGAACAAAAAGATGTCCGAAATTAAATAATAATATATTTAAAATTTGTGAAAATCTACTTTACGACGTGGGTTTCAATGTATCTTCTCATTTCAAAAAGTATTTACATCTTTAGTTCTTTAAATTTAGATTGAAGTGATGGATGTGATAGCAGGCCGATGGCCACACACATCAAGAGATGTACCAGAATATATCTTCAAGAGACATGGCTTGTCTTCTTATATGTTCTGTTACAACGCACTGACATATATATTTTGCTTTTAATATTAAAGTTAAAATGGTATTTTTCTAATTATCTTTTTTTTTACTTCCTGCAATGGCCTTACGCCTCTTCATGTCCCGTATATAACTCTGACTTACGCTTGTGCGCACACGATCCAGAATAATGCGTGTCCGAGACATATCCGAACAGATGATGCGATTATTGGATGAATCTTCTGAGACACAAATAGTCTAGGTAACCGCACAACAAACTAATACAGCTTTAATTGTTATATAAAAAAGTTGCACAAAAATATAGATATTAAATCGAATAATAGCATTCACCCGTAGCATGCTACGCACGGACACTTCAGGCAGGAATAATAAGGACCGAGATCGGAGCAGAAGAACGAGTGTTAAGTAAAGAAAAAAAGAAAAGAAATCAGAAGGAGAGAGGACAAGAGATGGGACGTGGTGGTGGTCGACACGAGATACGATACCTTCTAGTAGTAGCAACTAGCAAGTGTGGCGAAATTGCCCTGTGGGCGTTGCAGTGCGCACAGGTTGTCCTCGACGTAAAAGGCAAGGGGGGCAAGGGCAAAGCTGTTTTGTGAGCCCGCTTCGTTTGTCTCTCGGGGATCCTCGCCAGGCCAGGCCAGCCAACAGCAGACCAACACAGGCCTGCTTGGCCCAAAGCCCAGTATAGCCGTGGATGCCGTTCCCGCCACCAGATTTGGCGACGACGTAGCGCCTTCCTCTGCCCTGCCTTGCAGAGAGCCAGAGACTCTGACTCTTCCGTGGAGAATTGGCGATGCTGCGACTCTTCTTCTTTCTTGTTCTCCACTGCAGTTCTCCGGCTATACTTAGCTAGCTGCCTCTCCTCTGCACCCAGCGAAGAGCAAACCTCCTCCGAGTCCGATCCAACTCGGCAACTCCCATTGCCCTGTTGCCTCGCCTCGTCTCCGTCGCATGCCACCTCCTCTGCCTCGCTTCACGGCCGCCGCCTCCGGAGGATCCGCGCGACTGCCACTGCACAGTCGCAGGAGAAGCAGGCGGCGCCACAGTCGCAGCCCCCGGAGGGCGGGCGTCGGCGTCGCCGAGAGCATCATGCCGCACCTCCTCGACATGTAAGCATGATTCTTACCGCACCTTTGCTCTGTAATTGTTTGGACTCGCACCTCCTCAACTGAAACATGCATGAGCAGGGAGTGTTTGGGGAATCCAAGATCACTGAGTACACCCTAGTACAAGAGAATCCGATGGGGCCGGGCAAAACCGAGGTACATAAGCTATTGCTATTATTGCTATTGCGACGCTGTGGATGCTCTTCAGTCTACCTGGGATGCTCTTCAGTCCATTAGTTTTTTTCTGAGAACTGAACAACATCCTAAACCGTACTTAGATGCGTATTATATGTATAAGGTGAGTTTGGTGTTTTATATCAATGCCTGCCATCGTCGTCATGCACGATGATCGATCAGGTGGTGATCCAGAACAAGCAGCACTACAAGGTGCTGGGCAAGCCGGTGGACCTGACGTCGCTCATCAGGCTGCAGGTGGAGAACGGCAAGGTGGTTAAGCACGAGGACTGGTGCGTACGTCGTCTCGTCGTTCGTCGTATTCGTATACGTTGCAGGTGAGACAAGAAGCCTCTGAAGAACAGGGACACGGTGGGCCTGCCGCTGGTGGGGCGACTCGCGGAGTCCACTCCAGCCGGCGGGGCGCCATGCTGCTCACCCACGCCCTCATGGGCTTCGGCAAAGACCCAAAACCAACCCAGTCTTCACAGTCATCACAACACTAGCGTTCATTTTGCCGCCACGTCAATCAGTCTGCAGTGCCTGCCATCCGTTATTAATTAATATCAATATCAATATCAATCTACTTGCTGCTCTCTCCGGTAGTCCAGTAGTGTGTTGTGTATTTCTTCATGTTAATGGAGAGTTGGAGACAATAGATATTGCTTCACAATGCTAACTTTAGTAATTTTCATCAGTAGTTGTCTCTCTGCGGATCAGATAATTTTAGTGCTGCTTTCTAGCACATGCCTTCCCTCTCTCTCTCTCTGTTCCTTCCTTTGTTCTAAAATATAATAAAAGCAAAGCAGGAATGAGGAGCAGGTGAAAGCAAAGTAACGCAGTGCAGTGCTGGTGCTGCACATTTGCACTGCACTGGGGTGCCAAAGCTAAAGCCTGCCTAATAATAAAGCCCCCTGGGGGCTGGGCCTTGTCTTTGAGGAGAGGAGAGGCCGCTTGCATTGGGTTTGCTTGGCCATCTCCTCCCCCTCCCTCCAGTTCCAATTTCCAAAGTCCAAAACAAACCGAAAAGCTAGCATAGCGCAACGGAAAACTCTCTCTCTCTCTCCGTCTGCGTAACTGCGTTTAGTTAGTAGTAGGAGGAGGAGGAGATTCCGTTCCGTTGCGGTGGGGTGAACGAACGAGTCCACTCCATCTTCGCATCGCATTCGCATCCCAGCGAAACGGCAACGGCAAGCCACTGCCCTGCCCGCTCGCCCCTCCCTACTCCACTCCAGTCCCACAGTCGATGAGACGACTCGAGGTCGCCGCGCTCGCCCTCCTCGTCGCCGGCGCCGCGGCCGCCGCGCTCGTCCTCCTCCTCGCCCTCTGCCGAGACCGCCGCCGCCGGGGGAGCAGCATCATCAAGCGGCCCGCGGCGCCCGAGCTGCCGCTCTCGATGCCCCGGCCCACCGTCACCAACACCAAGGGCTGGCGCCAGCACCACCACCACCTCGCCCTCCTCCTGCTGCTCTGCTCGGGCCGCCGCCGCGCTCGCGTGGCGGCGGACGGCCACGCGCCGCCGTCGCCGTCGACGCCGACGTCCACGGCGGCGGTGCTGGAGGAGGAGGTGGCGGCGTGGCGGGAGCGGTGGTTCGGCGGCCCCGTGTCGCGGGCGCTCTACACCATCTACGAGGAGGACGAGGAGGCCGCGGCCGCTGGCGCCGGCGCCGGCGGCGGGGAGGAGACGGAGACGCCGTTCTACACGCCGCCGACGTCGCCGCCGCGTGCGGGCGACGGTGGCAACAACGGAGCCACCGCGTACGCCGTTCCGATCCAACTGACCCACTGACGTCGCCCTTCTTGTTTGTCGCTGTGCCTTGTTACATTAGAATTAGATTAGATGACGCCATTACCACGCATGGTACCATGCAGTAGCATGCAGTTTTTTTTTTTTTTACCATCAGGCTCACAAAGTCACAAGAGGAGCCAGTTAGCTTAGCTGTAATCTTTTGTCTTTAGGCTACCAAGTTATTTTTGCTCCTGCTATGCCACTGGCAAGCACCTAGGAGCAATTCACAATCGAAATGCACCCTTCCTTGTGCCAGGCAAGGGTATGATGGGTTACCTGGCGAGCAATCAAACAAGCCATGCATTTTCTTGCCATAATAAAAAGCGCGTGTTCAGTTCCAAAAATACTTCCAAAAAAGTGCTACGGTACCCGTCACATCGAATCTTGCGATACGTGTATGGAGCAGTAAATGTAGACGAAAAAAAAACTAATTGCACAGTTTGGTTGGAAATCGCGAGACGAACGTTTTGAGCCTAATTAGTCCATGATTGAACATGATTTGCCAAATAAAAACGAAAATGCTACGGTACCCAAATTTCAACTTTCCCTTCAACTAAACACAGCCAAAGTCAAAGTCAGGTCGACCAGCAGCCAAGGCAGCCAGCAGGCAGCAACATCTCTGTCTCTCTTGTTGTTGTCGTCTCTGAAACTCTCTCGTCTGTTCCCTGACTTCCCTCTCTCTGTCTCCTTCAGATTCAGACCACCGACTGCTGCTGCTGCTGCTGCTGCTCTCTCTCTCTCTGACACGGTCTGTGGATCGGATCGATTTGCGTCCAAAGTTGCCATCGGGCAAAGTTAACTGGGCGAGCATAGCAATCAAGCATGCATTGCCGTGTAGGCTGTAGCTAATTACTCCACTTTGTTAATAGACCTAGTCTTTGTTGACCGGGCAGCCTTTTGCTTTCACAGACACTGAGAGACACACACAGGTCAGGTCTGGTCCGGTCACTTTAATCCTCCTCTTCACTCGAGAGCTGAGTAGTTCACGCATGCCTCATGGAGTGACCAGGTCGCTCAAGATGACTCCTGCTCCCTGCCGTGCGGGCCATGCATTTGGCATTGGACCCACTTCCGAACGTGTGTGTACATTCACATCACATGCATACACGTATATATGATGTTGTGTCTCGGTGCAAATTCATCTAAGTGGATGGAGCACTTATCTACTACACCTAAATAGGAGAATCTCACTAGCATATTTCTCGAAGCCACGTCATCATTTGGGCTGCTTCTCTTCGCCTTCATCATCGATGTACTAGTGGCCACTTCGCCTGTTCTCTTCCTCAGCATATCTGAACAGACTAATTAAACAACATGTTCGCTTATTGGTTTCAGTCAGGGCTTATCAGTCATGGTATAATATTTTTCTCTCACAATAAACCAGTACCAGCCGGATTTATCAGTCCAGAAACCAACCAAACAACGGGCTGAAAAACTGCTCCAAACGTTGCCACGCACTTAGAAGCTACAAACGATTCCACTCGTCAGCAATTAATAAACGGCCACTACATGCTTCTAACGTTGCTACCCACAAACAATTACAGCCACTACATTCTCCAAACCCTGCCACTCATAAGCAATTAATAAATGGCCACTAACGCGTTGCATCAGGAGACCATGCAGCAGTCCAGGACGTATTTATAAGCTAATAAAAAAGCAAGCAAGGTTCCTGGACAATTCCATTGCCTGTTCATCGCACACATGGACTAGAAGCTGTCGTGATGGCCTTCTCAATCCTGAGCATCGTGCCGGCCATCTCTGTCGGTGCTGGTTTCGGCAAGATCCGGACGTGGTTGTCATGGCAAGAGGCGGGTACGACCAGCATGCCACGCCGGCGTGGCACCAGCAGCAGGCAGCAGTGCTGGAAAGAGGAGGATAAGAAGAAGCGAGGGAGGAAGAACAGTTGTGGACTTCATCTTGCAGTTTGGGCTGAAGTTTGATGGGATCCACAGCATGTGTTCTCGGGAGAGTGCCACAGTCGTTCATGGAGTAGCCGGTCAGCCGGTGAGCAGATCGATTTACAGAGAAGAAGAGGATCGATTTCCGTAGCAACGCGCGGGGTATCATCTAGTATAAATTTAGGACTATAACACAACATTCTTAGGCCATTCCCAATCTAGAAACCATCTCTTAGTTTCTATACATGCTAAGACACTACTGCACTGCTCTTAGAAACTCCTCTTTTACATTGCATAAGGTCTTGTTTGGAAGTAGACATTGGACCACTGGTATTGAATTGGGTACAAATGCCAAACCATACTAGTATTGAAATTGGGCTACAATACCAAATCATAAGGTTCCAGCAGTGGAGGTGGCTAACGGCGGAGGACGGGGGTGGCAGTGGACTAGTGGAGTTGGCTGGTGGTGGGGATTCCGCACCCAGGTGGAGATGGGCGACTGCGGTGGCGCTGAGTGCCAGGGTCCAATTTGACTCAATACCTAGGGGTCAGGCTCTGTATTGGGATAAGGCTCTTCCAATTATGGTTCAATACCAAGGAAATGGGTCTCCGATGCCAAATCTCAATTCTATGTACATCCAAAAAACAACATTGTGCGGTAACCTGATTCCAATTCTCAATTCTAAGCTACAATATTGACTTCTAAAAGGGGTGTAATATTTTTTTGTGGACCCCATATCGATTTAGCAAATGACCTACAAGCTACATACTCCCCCCTCTCTCCCGTCAGCTGGTAGCATTGCTCCTTGGGCGGGGGCGGGTGGTGGCGGGTGGCCCGAGTGCCGCCGAGCGACCAGTGCGGCGTGGGTGCCTCCCGCTCCTACTAAATGTAGGGTTGTAGATCTAGGTTGTCCCCTTCATCTTCCCTCACCGACTTCCATGGCGGCCACAACCGAGGCAAGCCAGATCCGGTCGGGGTGGGGTCAACCGTTGTGTGCATGAGGATCTCCAACGATGAGCATAGTGGTAAGCCTACAAACGCGGTGAGCCCCATGGATGGAAACGATACCCTAGATACAACATGATTCTGCTAGTTTCTTCGTTCTTTGGATAGCGCTCAGAAATCGTTTCTCAGCAAGGACACAATTTTTCTTATCTCTCCTTATTAAATGTGTTGCCATATCAGCAAGCTGCCGAGTTGGCAACATAATTAAAGCTATAGAAATGCCCTCACCGACCGTGTTGGGGCTAGCCTCAAAGAAGGCAACACATCATTTTCATGTTTATGGTGAAGTAGCATGTGCTGTAACGTAGAGGGCGTGCTCCTGCACAGGGGTGGAGCTGCTTGAACTGCAATGGGTGCGGCCGCACCCATGGAAAAGTAAAAAAACAGTGATATAGTCTAAATTTTCACCGTATTCGCATTCGCACACATAAATTATATATCCTTGCACCCATAAGGCGAGCGCACCCTCCTCGGATTTACTTTAGCTCCGCCACTGCTCCTGCATGCATGCAAACAAACAAGACATAAGTTCGCACATAGGTAAAGTTAAATTTCCTGTTCGATGGCATATGTTCCCATCCCAGCATCACTGAATGTGTATGGGATGGTGCGCACCCATCCAATGGCGCTGGCCATGGAGGCACGTGCACATGCCCCTAAGGAAAAAACAGTGATGGGATTAAGGCACATGTCCTAACATATTTTTTTTAGAAAATTTAACTAATTTTATACAAAAGAGTAGTATCATCCATATCCAATTTTGTGTCATAAATATTAATCCTTTTTCTATAAAATCCATTTTTTTTTACCTTAGAAACAACTTTAGAAGCTGATTTATTCGGTAACAATGGGAGCATGTCGGTCTCTTCTCTTAATGGCCACCAATCAATACAAGCATCATCTCCTCTCTTAATGATCACCAATCATTCAAGCATCTCAACTTTGTTGCACAAAGCACGACTCTGTATATGGCTAAGCAAAGCAAAGCAAACGCACGCAGGAGTCCACTCTTTTGAGGTCATCACATCTTTTTTTCTATAAAATATATACAAATGACGCCTCTCCTGGTAATCCATGCATGTGCATTGATTTTTTTTTTTTAAAACTTAGCAGGAGCTCGGCTTCTCAATTAAGGAAAGATAGAGGTTTATATACATAAAGCCCAAAGGCCTAAAACACCCCAGAGGGCACATCCCAGGTACAGAAGTAGAACGATCTCCTCTCCCCTTAGGGGAAAAACAGAGGGGGGCTAAGTTATGCTGCTAAAGACCCGTGAATCGAAGGTCAATGTCTTCTTTGGTTTTGGAAGCCACTTGTCTTGCGTCCATGGTAGTGTTTTGAAAAATTCTTCTGTTTCTTTCTTTCTAAATGTTCCATAGTGTAAATCACCGCTCCGTTTAGAATCTGCTTGTGTAAAACTGGTGAAACGCCCTTGATTTCATATTCTCGTCGTCGAGCAACACAAGCAGCGCTAATCTCCATGCTTGTAAAAAGAACCAACAAACAAACAAACTGATGAACAAAGCAACCCCGGCCCTTCAATTCCCACGCGCATGCAGCAAATGCAACTCATGAACAACTGAACAAGCAATCCAATTAACCACAGTTATAGCCAATGCATGTCTAAATTAAGCACTGACACGAACACTATAGCAGAGTATACTGGAGTATATGTGCATCGTCTCCAATTTCCAGGGCTGAAGCGAATGTCGGCACAGCAAGCACGCACCCGTCGCGCTCGCCTCACCGCACGAACGACAGCCGCGGCACGCCGCCGCTCCCAGGACCTGCCGCGGAGAGACCCGGAGGAGCAGCAGGGCACCGACGTCGACGAGTTCCCCGCGCACAGCGCCTTGTGCAGGGACGACACCTTGCCGGTGACCAGGTCGGTGAAGCTGCAGCCGAGCGGCGCCGTGCCCGTGTTCGTCTCCAGGAAGGCCCGCTCGTCGTCCGTCAGCGGCGGCGCCCCGTACGTGTACTTCCACCACCATGGCTCTGCTCCACTCTTCGCCGCTGCTGCTTCGGTTTGTTTGTGTGGCGACGGAGACGGCGGCGCGGCGGCCACGGGTTTGTGGAGCAGGGTAGTGCCGGTGATCACCACCAGGCTCCGCCTCTTGGTTTCCTCCCTCGACTCGGGGTCTAGAGGCCTGAAGGAGAAGGACCTCTTCCAGGTGTCCACCATAGCAGCTATGGCCGGTATCACCAGCTTCTCCACTTGCACTGACGCCAGCACCTGGTTCACTCACACAGATTGTATCACTGACGGACAGAGTAGCGAGTGAGTTGGTGACAGTAGTGTCGTGCACCTACCTGCTCGACAGCGTTCACCAGCCGACGCATCATTCCTTGTTTCCGGTAAGCTGGCAGTGTGCCTGCGAACGGCATCTCCGCGACCTTTGTGCCATGGATCCTGTAAAAAGACAAGCAAACCAAAGCATGCACAACAATCATCTTCCGTGCTTCGTTTAAAAAAAACAATCGTCTTCTGTACTATGCCTCTTTCAAGCATTCAACAATGCACGAATCACAAGCATGCCACCACCAATTACAATTAGGCATAAACGGCTGTCATTGCTTCGTAGGTAGGATTCTTTTCAGATGATGCCTGGAAGCCTGGGATTAAGTTCTTTGTGCATGTTGTTTGCAAGCCACTAGTCGAGCTTGACCTTTTGCAGGCATGGCCGATATATCTTTGAATAATGCTAGAACAACTTCAGGCCACTGTGCACATAATCTGAACTGATGAGTTGGTCTAGTGTTCCAAATTGACCATTCGAGTTGACGCGGAAGCATAAATATTTTGTCTGAAGGAAGTTTTACAGACTTTGCTTACAGTACAACAACCATAGGAAAATGGAAACCAAAGACGACTAGGCCAGGAACACATGTACTCCTATATATATCCTCGGCCTACACGTGAATATGGATCGGGCCAAATTAGGCCGACCCCAATTTTTGAAATCGTGGCGCCATTCATGCAAGGGTTGATAGCTGACTTTATGTGATCACCAGGGCAAAGGAGAACTTAACAATGCAACTAAGTGGAGTCAGTAATGCCGTTGGACAACTGGTTTCACTAAGTTAATCCAAGTAAACATAGATAAGTAAAAAAATCTTGCAATGATCTACTAAGGGGTACAAACATAAAGAGAATATGAATCCAAACCTCAGCAGGGCTGCTGAAATGATTTCTCCATCCTTCTCCAGAATCATGGTGTAGAATCCTTCGTAGCTTACCCGTTTGAATTCTGATCTGTTGGAGCACAAAACTTTTCTATAAGTTATTACAGAATTATAGAGAGTGCTACTGTGTTATAACCAGGTCGATCCGGTCCTATATTATTATAGCAGCAGTACAAATGCAGATGTTTCAATCTGACTGAGCTTATTACCCGAGGCTGTAGACAGCTTGGTGGAGCATATCGATCTTAGTTCGTCGATCCTTAACTGGGTTGAAGCACTCATTCAGCACGCCAAGCGCCACTGCAAGCTTCACGTTGCATTCAAGAACATCAGGACTGTTCTGTGAACTGACTGGCTCGTCTTTCTGAATCTTCAGTAGAGCCCATGAGAAACCATCTTCACTATGGTTTGTTACGCCTATCGTGTCTGCTAACTGAGCAGACACCTGAAACATCCAAAGAGACTCCTCTTCAGTACGGTTGGCAAGTAGAACAGATATGACACGGCTAGCAAAAAAAAAAAAAAAACAAATAAAATGGAAATCAGCAAGTATTTACCTTCTTGCAGGTTTCGCTACAGTATGCGCCGATGCCGCGCCCATTGCTTAGGGATGGACGGCAAATCTCATGATCTGCAGAGACATTTAGTTCACCCCCATCAGTTCCTTTTCAGGAAACACAAGAAGAAGAAGGAAAAAGAATCAAGAGACCGATTGAGACAGTGAGTGAGATGTGTACACTTCAGAGTACAATGTTGGCATGTGGACAGGCCTTGATCACCATTTGCCATGCACAGCACGCATCGGCAGTAGTGGCAAGCCCACGAGCCCTCTGGAACCTGAAACGTGAAATCAGACGGCAGCATTGATTTATTCAGACAAGCAGAGCGAGCACATCGATTCAGATTTCGGGACTTTGGTGCTGTGTCGCATACCTTCATGGCGAGGCACGCCGGGTGGAAGGTGGAGGGGCAGCTGTCGCAGCAGAGAAGCTCCCCGCCGTCGGCGCCGACGCCGCAGGCGTCGTCGCTGGAGTCCTCGCCGGACCTCAGCTTCGTTCTGATTCTAGGAGACGTGATGACCCCTTCGACGGCTCCCTTCTTCTGCTTCGCGAGGAGCCTCCTCTTGGCCTGCGCGCTCTTCTCCTGCTCCTGCTCCAGCGCCGCCCTCGCCTTCTCCTGCACCAGGAAGATCTTGACCCGCTCCTTCTCCCACGCCTCCTGCATGCGGTTCAGGAGGGAGCTGCCGGACACGAGCAGGAGTTTCTCCCACGACCGCTGCTGCCCGAGGTCGCGGCCGGCGTGGGCCTCGAACGCCGGCAGCGGCACGATGGCGTCGCAGCAGCCGCAGTGGACGCCCGTCCTGGTGACCGCGCCCGAGACAACCTTGCCATCGCCGCCGTCCATTGGCACGTAGAACACCTTCTCCCTGTCGGATAGGAAGCCGGCGTCGATCAGCCATGTTAGTATGGTGTGCTTCTTCGCCGTCGCCGCGACCGCGCTGCTCCTCCTAGCGACCACGTTGCACCTGCCGCCGCTGCTCGGCGAGGCCGCGACGTTCTGCTTCCTCTTTCTTCTGTTGCTTGGCGTTGGTGGCGGCAGAACAGGGACTATCTGAAGATCGTTGCTAGCAGGCGGCTGGTTCTCGACGACGAGGTTTTTCGCGTCGGCGGCGGCGACCGTGTTGTTGTCTCCAGCCGTTCTCTGTCGCTGCTTGCTGGCGGCCCTCTGCCTGGGCTTCTTGGACGACTTCGGCTTGCTGCTGTCCTTGTCCTTGTCCTTGGCGCGCGCTTCCTGACGCGGCCATTCGCCGCAGCGGCGACCTCCCCTCCAACCGTGGTCGGCATGGCGAGCACAGGGGGCAGGCGTTGCACCGCGCCATCTGTTGCTGCAGGCGGCGCCTTCTTCTTGCTGGCTGATCCGGTGGCGATCGTGGCGGAATCGGTAATCTGAAGCGGCCTCAGGTTTGGTGGTTTACGGCGGCCTGCGCCGCCACCTCCGGGACTGGGGCCGTACCTGCCGGCAACAGCACTGCCGTGGACGACGACGGCACCCCGGCCGGCAACGCTGCTCCCACTGGCTCCTGGCGCCCCGGAGGCGAACGACGACGACGGCGCTCGGATGGGAGGACCGGGGGGCCTCGCGGAGGGGGAGAGCAGCAATGGCTGGCCTCGCGGTGACATGAACGCGGCGTAGTTGTGGAGCCATGGCGATGGCGGTGAAGGGAGGTTACCCCATCCAGCTAAGTGCATGAGCTGCTGCACTATCTCCATCCGCGCCCCTAGTTGTCCACCGGGAGCACGAGCCACCATGGCAGCGTTTGCGGGGCCAACAACGCCGGTGGCTGGGTAGCCGTAGCCGGTGATGGGGCGCGCCTGTGGAGAACGCAACGCAGCGGCATGGGGAGGCCGCACATACGCCCCGACGGCGCCGCCGGCGGAGTTAAGCACGTGGAATGTGTTGCTCGCCGTGGCCGGGGCGGAGGTGACATTCTCAGGCCTTGCCGGCACCGGGGACGATGACGACATGCTGCTACCTAGCTAGTTCCGGGTGACGGACAAATTTTAGGACGCAGGATTAGAACGAAATAAAAACATGCTTCCTCAAATGAGAATCAAAACAGGAAGCGATTAAAAGGCATTAGCTACAAAAACAATAATGGTTGTAAATTGTAACCCAGGATTGCACATTTGCACCAACACAGCAATGCATGCATTATGAACATGATGACATGCAGCCGCTCAATGGAAACCCGAATCAATAGTTTCTACGGTCGTTTTTGCATTGAGCTGGATAACAGTAATGTAAGAACGCTCATCAAGTCAGAGGAAAAATTAATAAAACCTCTGCAGGCTAATTGATAACTACGCACTGCGTATTTTAGTGAAAATCTCCTGTCTTATTAACACTACCCGGAAGGAAAATTAAGTACTCTCTTCATTCTAAATTATAAGACGTTTTGACTTTTTTTTACGTATATCACTTTTGATATGCGTCTAGTTATATACTACATCTATATATACATAGCAAAAGTAATATATCTAAAAAAATCAAAACATTTTATAATTGAAATGTTGGGAATATTTTATAATGGTATGCATACTATGATATTGACATGTAGAATGGGGTTCTCTCTCCATTCACTTGAGTTAGGTTTCTTGTGATCTTTGTAGTTATTTTTCCGTCTAATTTTATGGTAAATTCGGTCATAGGAATCTAGACTCCACTTGATTCGATGTAAACTAAGTGAAAAAAGGGATAGCAAAACAGAAACACAGGAACAAAAAAAATATCTCCAAACTGAGGACTCCTTTCCTTTGGCTGATTCTAAAGAATGTAACGAGAGTTGGAAGTTAGCCTCTCGTAGGAGCGACACAGTTAGTAAGAAAAGATGACGACAATAAGTGTAGTGTGCATATATACCTTTTCTTCTTGAAAAAACAAGTAAATGATGCCGATGAGATACTTTTGCTTATAAATCACAAAAAAGCTTATAAGACATCGCTAAACCAATAATTATACCAAGTGAACAAAATAAGTAGTAAACTCATTTTTTGCATTTCTCTTGTAGTTGCCAATTTTTAGTTTCCTAAAACTCACAGCAGACCAGTACCACAACACCCTCTCCCTCGCCGGCCCCTATCCGACAAGCAGCCGTTGTCCTCGTCCTAGCCATCTGCGACCACATCCCTGCCCCACCCCTATCGAATAATGATACAATTAAGACGTCCGGACGGACGGACGCTTCCCACTGCTCACTCCCGCACGCACTGCTCGCCCAGCGACCCTATCCGCTCATCCCATCCGCGCACCTCAATGCTCGCTGCGACGTTTTCTCCCTGCATCTCCGTGCCCATCTGCCCACCCCATTCAGCCTCGCCGCCGCCAGTCCCCCGCCCCGTGCCCCATCCCCCATCCCCCTGCGGCCTCCTTTGCGCCGCATTTCCTATTGGGCCCGGTCTGCCTTGCCCGCCTCCACCGCGCTGCCTCCTCGCCGCGGCCGCCTCCACCGAGCCGATGAGCCTCCATGATGGATGCTCCAGCAAGCAGACGAGGGGGACGAGATTCGTGTGACGCCGTGCCCGCCGGTGAGTTGCCAGTGTCGCTGCCACACGAGGTCCATGCGCCGCCGTCGACCTCCGCGTCGGCGTGCCTCCATTCGTCCAAGCAAAGCCATGTTGCAAAAGTATGTTTCAAGTGTTTCAGATGTTTCATTTAGATGTTGCAAGTGTTTCATCTTGATGTTGCAAAAGTAGATCAGAATGTAGCACATGTTGTAGTGGCTATACACATATATTTCAAGTGTATGTTCCAAATGTTTCATCTCGTTTTCCAGACATATGTTTGCAAGTGTTTCATCTGGATGTGTTTGCAAGTGTTTTCCACACATATGAAGTGTTTTCAGTTGTTTTTTGCAAGTGTTTTATACGTATGTTTCGAGCGTTTCAGCTTTTTCGTACATATGTTGCAAGTGTTTCATCTGTATGTTTTAAAAGTAGATCCTGTGTTGTAACTAGTGTGTTCAGATGCATGTTTCATGTGTTTCATCTGCCTTCATACGTATGTTGCAAGTGTTGCATCCAGATATTTTAAAAGTAGATCAGGTGTTGCATCTTTGTCTTCGCTTTTCTGCTGCCTCGTGTTCGCCTCGGTGTCTCCTCCTCCTACCGGCCGGCTGGGCATTCGCTGCCCCTCCCCCTCTTCTGGATGCTGGCATAGCCACCTGCTGTAGTCACATGCTGCAGCTGCTGGCCCCGTGCATGCGCGTGAGAAGCAGAGGGGCGCGAGCAGGGACTCCCCACGTGTAGTCGGGCAGGTTGGACGGCGTGCGTCCCGCGTAGGCAGGCGCATGCGGAATGCAGGTGCGCGGGGGAGACGGAGTGCAAGCGCGGGCGTCCGAGCGCTAGCATTGCTGCACCATTATCCCCAGGTCGCTGCCCCATAGGTCACTGTGTCCTTCCCGGTAGCTTGCAGCTGGCCAAACATGGCCAACAAAAAGCAAGAATCGCCTAGGGCTTGGCAGGGCATCCAAACTGCCGCCAAACCTGCCTAGGGCTTGGCCACCACATCCAACGACAGTCATCCATCTATTCCATTCCCCCTGTGTTTCCTGCTATACGAGTGATCGATCTTAGCAGGAATGATGGCGATGGTGACGTAGATCTAGAATGGCGGTGATGACGGACGACTTCATAGAAGAGGAAAAAGAAACATGTGAGTCAGTGCCAGAAAACGGAGGGAGGAAGAGGTCACGTGAATCGACGCAAACATAGGCACTGGTTTAGCAAGTTGATTTAGCAAACTAGGATGCTCTTCGTGAGTTACACAACATACACGCATACACGAATTGTATGTACACAACCCAATTCTATTCTTGTGCTACAACAGAGTTCTGTAACATACAGTACTCAATAGGGTCACATGTGTATGGTACACAACCCTATTGTTACACAAGAATAAAACTAATAAGTCGTAGAGGGACTGACACGGCTAGCGCGCAAAAAGCAAATCAAATGGGGACATCAATTGTCATGATTTGCAGAGGTATTGTCAGTTCACCCCATGAATTCCTCTTTAGTGAACACAAGGTAAAAATCAAGAGCTTGATTGAGAAAGTGAGTGAGATGCATACACTCGAGAGTACACTTTTGGCATGTGGACAAGTCCTAATCATCATTTCCCATGCACATCGGGCCTGTTTGGATGGAAGCCTGGAGTACTTGCGTGTCAAAAAGTGTTGTCTGGAAGTTATCTGGAAATTTGATGGAATTTTTCCGGCGAGGCAAGTTAGAAGATGATTCGTTTGGTTGGAAGCACGTGCCTAGGTAGACTAATAAAAGATATACTACCATCATTAAAACATACGTTACTGTTATAACGTATAAACAATAAATAAATAAAAACGATCCACATATTTTCTCAATTAATAATATATTTTAAATTATAAATAAATTTAATAGATTTGCTAGCTATTTAAAAAACATCACAAGAAAAGAACGCATGAGAAAGAAAGATAATTATAATTACATTGCTCACACTGCTAATTTAGCGTGAACATGATCAACGTAAGGGAGAAAGAATATAGAAAATATAAAATATACAAAACAAAAACTACACGGTGGCTATGATATGGTTCCCTTCTACCTGGATCACTGTTTCCATGCCAGGCAAAAGTAGTCCAGGGTCTCATTCAAACAAGCCCATCATGCATCGGCAGTAGTGGCAAAGCCCACGAGTCATTTGGATCTTGAAACCAGACAACGATATTAGCTATACATAAGAGCATCTTCAAGAGATTAGTTAAATTATTTTTTAATGATAAATTTAGCTATTATTAAAAAAACGTCTCCAACAAACTTTGTAAATGACTCACGAAATTTAGTAGCTCTCCATCTCACCCCATTCACTCTCTATTTTTGGATAGCCTACCTCACTAGCATCTGACCTCTTGGTTTTACAGAGTCTGTTAGAATACTCTAGTATTTTTTTGTCAAATCTATTATAGAGAGTAGTTAAATCAGTAAGATGCTATTTTTTCACTTCTTCATGTATGCAACCAGCTAGCATTGATACTGGGCCAAGTACTTGGGCCATGGTCTATCACATGTTTCATGCCAGGCTTATTGGTTTCAGTCGAATTCGGTCGCCTGAGCTTATCACCTCACTCCAATAATGTTTTTCTCTCACAACAAACCAGATTCTCAATCCCATTGGACTTATCGACCCGAAACCAACCAGCAAATTAACATGCTCTATGTTACCCAAGGTTTTAAATCTCCATTAAGCCTCTTAGTTGTTGACCTTTCTCAGGCCCCCAAACAGCACAGCAGATTCTATAGCCAGGCAGAGTCCAGGGTCTCATAAACTGTTAGCTAAACCATTTAGCCCACGGGTCATTTGTATCTTTTTTGCAAAAAAAAAACACATGACCTTGGCATAAGTTGATAAGCATTAGTAATTGATTCATAATCAGTTGATAGGAGTACATCATAGGTTTATAGGAGTACATCGTAGCCTAACAAAATATGGAAACATCATCGTTGGTGCTGAGCAGAGGAAGGATGTGACTGTGTGAGCATTGAGCAGTGAAGAAGCTTGCCAGATTGTTGTGCCATGGTGTCGCTTGCCCCAAGATTCTAGCTTAGCTATTCTCCACTTGCGTTTTTTTCCACGCTTTCACCTTGCCTCCTAAAAGCCGTATCATACGCGCCGCCTGCTCGCCGAGGAGATGCAAACCCAAAATATGTCATCTTTTCTCCAAAAGCTGCTGCACACAACCCATTTTGCTCTACCGACCAAAACCATACGTAGCATCCTCTCTCCCTTTCGCGCTCTCCGATGGTCCGCCACCGCCCTTGCAACGCCGTGGAAGGCACCGCACCGCGCATCGCTCTCTTTTTTGTGGAACCGGAGAGCGAGCGCTTGATGCTGGATAGACTGGAGAGAGATGCGTGACTGCTGACTAGCTAGGGTTACGTATTGGTCCTCGTCTCTGGTCCAGTTGGGCTGGCTTGCTTCTTGGGCTAGGATTTGCACTTTAGCGGCTGCACTGAAGGCCAGTTTAGCGGCTATTGCCGGCTAAATGGCGCTATTAGCGCCCAACTTTTCTTAGCGCTAAAAACTACATCTCTTAACTTGTTCCATCCCTAGCGGCTATCTCCGGTTATAGCGACAGCTATAGCCGGAGATTTAAAGCTTTGATGTTACCTGAGTGCCCGGCTTGCCCCCAAGGTTCTAGCTTAGCTATACACTTCTCTACTTATGCGGGAAAAAGTCTGCGTAACCTTGAATCTTTTTTTATCAACTTCACCCTTTAGACTATAAAGCTGTGTATCCTACGACCTAAACTTACGTAAAGAAGGTATTTAACCCCTTCTAATGGTTTTGATTCTCGTTTTTGCTGGTGTGGCGCTTGGGCCCACATGCCATTAGGTACGGTCAAAAGCCGGCTGCGTTAGCGTCTTGACAGGCAGCCAGGCCGACACGACGTCACCATCGCCACCCACGTTGCTGGGATTGGTCAGACAACTACGAGCGACTATTATTATATATTCTTCTTATTTTCTATAATTTCAGAAGAGATTACTCTTAAGAACATTTGTGGATTTACTCTTCTACCCCTAGCCATTAAGCCATCTCAACTCCTAAAAGTCCAAACCAAGCAAAGGCCTGCGGGCCTTGGCGGACCGACGAGGGCGATCCGACTCACAGCCGTGAGTTAGGAGAGGCTCCGGCGCGGCGCCTCCAGCTAGCAGAGGCAGAGCGCCGCTGTGCTCGCGCTCACTCCGACTCACAGCCGTGAGCCCCCATGGACGGCCCCCGTTGGACGGAGGAGGTGGACAGCCTCGTCGACGCCGGCGACGTCGACGGCGCCATCGCCCTGCTCGAGTCCGTCGTCTCCACCTCCGCCGCAGCCGCTCCCCCAGCCGCCGACCTCCGCCTCGCCACGGCGCTCGGCGACCTCGCGGGCCTGCACGCCTCCCGCGGCAACACCCTCCGCGCCGACGAGCTCCGCGCCCGCGCCATCGTCCTCCGATCCTGCGCGCCGCAGCCCCCGGGGCTCTAGGGTTTGTTCCCCCTCTCAACGTCCCTTGTATTGTACCCCTGAACCTTCACTGTTGCACTTAATGGTTGGACCATTGCTTTGGCCATTTTGTTTAACTGAAATGTTGCTTTGCCTTGGTTGGGTTTGTTCCTAATGCGACACACCCTGTTTCTGTCAAACAATGTGTTTGTGCAGGGATAAGGAGCCTTCAGAGAAATGTTCATCACAAGAGGGTGCGATGGGTTTGAAGGACTCTGAAGGCGAAGAGGATGGTATTGTTTTTGTACCTTGTCTGTGCTATTTAACTATGGACACAACTCACAGAAAATTGAGACCTTACATTCCTTCTTTGGTGCTTGCAGATTGGGAGTCTATTGCAGATAGCGGTGCACTTGATGACACACTAGCGCGCTCCCTTGAGCAAGAAGCTAGAGTACCTTCCTGTAGCTCTTCAGAGAGAAGTGGCACCCCATCTTCAGGGCCCAAAAGGAGGGGTAGGGGCTCATTTCTTTACATAAGAGTGTTCTGTACAGTGACCAGTGTGGTTTGGAAAGAGATTTGGATGACAAAGAGTCTACTCCTCAGGGCGGATCTGGATCAAAGGGCCATGTGAATGAGCGGGAGAACAATGCTGTTACAGGTATTCAGGATATTCATTTCTATCTGTATGGTTAGCTTGTTCCTTCTGAGCTTTAGATGACAGACTTGATTCTTTGCCTTGGCTTTGTAGCTGCCGCACAGTTTGGGACAAGGCATGTCCTTGTTTTATATGACTTTTCACCGAGCACACGCACAACAGATCTGGAAAGGATTTTTGAGAAATTTGGGGATCATGAAGTTGCCATTCGTTGGGTTAATGATACTTCAGCACTTGCTGTTTTTCGGACTCCATCAGCTGGTAATTTTATTCTTACAGCAATTTCTAACTATATTCGTGTATAGTTCCTTCTTATGACATGATCTGCTGAGAGAGGCGAGGCCATGAGGTAACAGCACGTTTCGCCCCTGTTGGAAACAAATGCTGTCATCGGATGGATTAGACTAGTGTAGTTATCTGAGAAGAAATTTGTGAACTAAAATGTTAGGTGCTCTGATTCCATCCCTAAAACACGGTTATCCTCTTTTCAGTTTGTTTATTCATCTACTCATAATACGTGTCGTAAACTGCTATGCATGTCGGGAGTGGATTGTTGTATTTTGCTGTGTTTCATGGTTAATTGCTCAGCTCCAACGTTTTGTGCTGATTTGCTGCTATTCCATTCTATTCTGTTAGGCTAGCACTTGATGCAGATGATATGAACTGTCAAGCCATCCACTGTTGCTGTTCTTGTAGCTTTGGTTCCATGTATTCTGATCACTTTATTCTTTCCAATCAATCTGTAGCTATTGAGGCTCAGGCTTGCATACCTCCAAGATACAAAGTGCGGTCACTGAAAGGGGATGATGATCTATTGGCAAAAATAGATGGTAGAGGTAACACCTGTGTCTTGTGATGATTCCTTTCTACTTGTTCCTCTCTTTTTCATGCTCTGTGGATTGTTGCATCTCAATCTTATGGTCTTGTTAAGATTTTCTGCACACTGTGTTTTAAGTTGCTCTTGCACCTCGCTGCAGACTTAGAACCGCCCAAGCCAAGACGAAAGACATCTGCAAGAACAGCTCAAAGGCTAATTGCTCATGGAATGGGATTGAAGCAGTTTACAAACTTTGGAACAGATGAGCTCAAGAAACAGGAGGAAGAGAGAAAGATCAGAATTGCTGCTCGACAATCTATGCGTGATGAGGCTTGGGGTTCGGACTGATCCGGAGCATGTCAAAATGGCTGGTTGCATCCAATCGCGGCTGCCAGTTTGTTACACCGGTGTTTTAGATGCTTGTACTATTTACATGGTTTATGTCGTTTGGTTCCGAGACATAACAAGAGTGGCATGAAGACAGAGATGTAACCAGATCTCGACGGAGAGGCCCATGAGGCCTGGGCGGCGGCCGACGATGGCGTCATGCAGGAGGAGCGTGGTCTCGCGCTCGCGGTTCTCGCACTGCGCCTTGTGCGGCTGCTCCTCGAGCTTGTCGATGCGCTGGTTGAGGAAGCCCTCCATGTCCATCATCTTCTTGCACTGGTCCAGCTCTGGCATGGTGTTGAAGCGGGCTAACACCTGGGCCACCTTGGGCGCGTCCAGCCACACCTTCGGCTGCAACTCCCCCTCGCTGTACACCACCACACAAGCGTCAACGTTGCCAACACCCAGGGCCGCGCCCGTCGGCCCCGGATCCGAGCCCACCGCCACCGGACTTGGACCCGGCATTTCTTGCTTGCCGCCGGCCATCCTCTGGCTGCTGACAAATTCAGAGCTCGAATGGGGAATAGGAGGGGAGGAGAGGGAGAGGTGGAAGCTGCTACGGGTGGCCCTTTTGGCGCGTCGCAGCGGGGGCGTCCATGGAAGCCAGCGCGACGGGGGGTTTGGCCGCTAGCAATTTAGCAGCACCTTTGCTTTACTGGATAAATAGTTAAAATAAGCTTCGGAATGCTAGATGATAGGCGAAACAACGGCATTCCACCACATCAACACACACCCCCACACGTGTCGTGTGTGTGTGTGTGTGTGTAAGAAACACAATCGCAACAGGTGAAAAGTAGAAAGAATATTATAGAGACACGGCCACCTACACATCCATCCATTTCTAGCCATTCGAAATGTACCTTTAACCAGCAACAGCCCAACAGTTAACTTTACTACAACATTCTTCTTTTTCCAACATTTTTATAAATAGGAGACACCCGGACAACTATTTACTCTCACAAAAGGGGTAGAAACCCCTAGAATAAAAATAATATGAATGGGAAGATACTCTTGAGAGCAGGGACAATGAATATTCCTCTTGGCTCCTATAACTAGGCTAACAATCGCCAGCACCTATCAATTTCTGTCATTAGGATCTCTTCGAAAAATTGGATTAAATCTGTCATTTGTACCAAGGGGCAGTATAAGTTATTGGATTTGGGTTTTTGGTGGCAAAGCTAGAAATATTGCCACCAAGCCCTCTTTCACCTAGACTCCTTTACTAGTCAAAACTGTTGGGGTTAGGTTAGAGGAAATGTTGAGTGGGATAGGCATGCTCGTATCCATTGTAATCGTAATATAGTTTTTCACCACAAGCTATATCACGGCAGGCCACCAACAAGACATGGCTCTCCCCATCAATGTCATACCGCACACACTTGACATTCTGCTTCTTCTTGCCATCCCTGCAACAGTTTCACAGTTAGAATATACACATCCTTTCACAGTTTCAAAGTTAGAATACACACATCTTTTCTTTGAGGTGACAACTCAGTACAGCAATTGCAAACTGGACTTTTGAATACAAAATAAACAACTTACTGTGTGTGGTTATTGATGCCACTGATAAAGCGAGAAATGTTCCCCCGCTTGTCAGGGCAAATGACCAGCCTTTGGGAAGGGTCAGCTGTCAGGAGGAGCGTCATAATACAGTCAATATCATCGTTTGCTCTCTTCTCCAGATAATCGACATCCCCAGCATATTCGGCGAGGAAGGTCATATCCTTAATATCACCATCAGCCTGCACAGTGAAACTGGAAATATATATGCATAAGTGTCATTTCTGTGTACTAAAAATGTAAAGGAAAAAGTGTGTGTGTCACAATTTGTGTATAGTGGGTGACACCAGAACACTAAGGGCAGTGTTGCACACACAAGTTCTAGTGGCATGCACACGAATAGCAAAGTTGGAGAGCAACACCGCAAACTCTGAATTAAATAGACAATTTTCCAATAAGTAAATAGTGTAGTGAGTTCAAGACAATACCCTTCAAGGGAATCGAAGACCACAAGAAGTGGAGGGCATTCGCCTCTTTGTTGCATGGTTCTGCACAACTCTATACTTTCCTTATCCTCTTTGGGCAGAACCTTGAAAGTCGAGGAGAGAAAAAATAGAACAACAAAACACCAAATGGTAATAACATAATTTCAGGTGAAAAGATTAGCTAACCTGCATACCGCCTACCTCCAATCTTGCCAGATTGGAAGATCTAGGAGCCATATTAGGCATGTAAGTCAGTTCATTACTGAACTCTGTTTTGGAAGACGTCAAAGCAGTGGCCAGAGACGCCATTTGTCTTAGTCTTCTAGCTCCATCTTCAGATGGAACAAATGGCAGTATCCTCCTCCTCTTCTTGTGCATAACAAGAGAACGCTTCCTTCGCCTTCTAGCATCTAAAAAAGAAGAAGTAAATTACTTGAGTTAGTACCATAACAAGCACATCCCTTTCTGTACTCAATCTATCTATATTTGTTTTCGATACTAGTTCACTTTTGTGTTTAAATCTAACAAGTATTCGAAACCCGGTAAAATATTAGCTAGCATATCAGGCAATCATGTGCATCAAATTTTGCATTTTACAATATCTGTGAGATATATGGCTCATACACTTAACATAAAAGCTATTACCCCAAGTGTTTATCAATGCTAACTATTGAAGTTGAACTGCACATAAATAAAAACACAATTTACCGGAGCCTATACTACACCCAGTGACTAGCAATAAGACAAGGGCCAAAGGCAGGAACTATATATGGTTAAATGAACACGACCAAGATAATAAGAGGGTACACACACAACACATACCCACGACAGAAGCCAGTCAATCCATACAGCCTTTATGAACAAAGTGAGCTACATGATTTGTTTCAACTCCACATTGCCATTATTATACTACTAAAAAACATGAAGCATAGTAGCATACTAACAAGAATTTCTGCATCAGACGTGTAATGATCATATCTTAACAAAGTAATTGCAGTAAAAAGACTTAGCAGGTGTCTAAGGCACAACCCACCCCTCTCTCCCAAAATAGAATCCAATTGAATAATAGCCTAGCTGAGGCATTTTGTTCTATTTGAGGGTTGATCCTCTAATGCTGAGCCGGCACCTGGCAGAGCTGACAATATGCTAACTTACTAACAAGATGCTAACAAACCCCCAACAACTGATAACCTGATCGGCCTTAGCCACTAGTGGAAGCTGACCCCTTCTTCTTCCTGGTGTATTGCTTGCCAATGAAAGCGTTTGCAGCAACATCACTTTTAACGTAACCATACTCTCCCTGTTCGCTTGAACTTATCAGCACGGCTTATCAGCCATGGTACAGTGTTTTCCTCTCACAACAAATAAGCATCAGCCGGCCTAATCACAGGGGATATTGCAGGCAATGCTGCTTAGATCAGCTAGCCATGCAGTCAATACAATTGCACAATCAAACATATAACAGCCATAAAGATGTGACTGACATACTAAAGGAATATCCACTACCACTAGCTCTTATAAGGTGCATTACCGATCAAATTTTAGACAAATAAATTACAGTAATTGAACCACTCATAATCAAACAAATAAATGGCACAAATATGGATTTGTTACAGACAGGTCAAAGGCAGGAAGTATTCTTTATGGCTAAATGAATGTAGACAAAATAATCAAGAGGGTACACATATACCGCTAACAGAAATAAGTCAATCCTTACAACCATAAATGATCTAGAAAATGAACCCCAAGTTGCCGTTACTACTTAAAAAACATGTATGACTAACACAGAATAAATTTTTGTCCTGTAATACTTTCCTGCCAATTTCCAGTCATGATGCAAGCGAGCACTTCACATTTTAATGTAACTGTATTCTTTGTTGCCTAGACTTTGCAATTCACATGGTATATTTGCAGGCAATGATGCATCAGTAGGCTAGACATGCAGTCAATACAATTAAACAATCAAACATACAAAACCTAAAAAGGTGTGACTATGAGTGGCATGCTAATAAGGATATTCACTATCAAGTGCATCAAACCTGTAAAAACTACCGTAATTGAGCCGCCCATAACTAAAAAAGAACACGACTCACTGGATCCTGTACTAATACAAAAAATCCAAAGGTGGGGACTATTTTATGTCTAAATGAATCCAGCCACGATAAACAAGAGGTTACAGATATACCAGAACCAGAAATCAGTCAATCCATACAGCCATAAATGATTTAGAAAGTGAGACACATGATTTGTTTGGACCTCAACTTGCCATAATAACTACTTAAAAAGGCATGCATAACTACAGAGATGAAATGATTGTCCAGTAATGCTTTCCCGCCTATTTCTAGTCGTGATGTAAGATAGTACATCACATTTTATTGTAAACCCTTTTTTGTTGCCTAAAATTTCCAATTCGCGTGGCATATTTGCAGGCAATGCTGCGACAATCGGCAAGCTATGCAGTCAATGCAATTGCACAATCAAACATACAAGACCCAAAAAGATGTAACTGGCGTAGTAACAGGAATATTCGCTACTGCTAGCTCTTAGCAGGTGCATCGAACTTGTAGAGATTACAGTATTATACTGCCCATAAAAAATAAATAAATAGAACGCAACTCACTGGAGCCTTGTATACTAATACAATACATCCAAGGGCGGAAACTATTGTTATGTCTAGTGAATGCAGCCAAGAAAATCAAGCAGATAAACATATATACCAGAACCAGAAATAAGTCCTAATTCGTACAACCATAAATGATCTTCTTAACCGGTGATCTAGTGTCCATGTAGTGGGGTGTGTGTGTGTGTGGGGGGGGGGTTAGGGGTCTATGTATGACGCTCTTTTCTTCTATTAATACAATGATACACAGCTCTCCTGCGTGTTCGAGATAAATGATCTAGAAAGTGAAATGCATGATTTGTTTGAACTGCAACTTGCCGTTACTAATTAAAAAGCACGTGTAACTAACCCAGATTATCCGGTAATGCTTTCCCACCTATTTCCAGTCATGGTGTAAGCAAGTATGTCGCATGTTAACGTAAACTGTATTCTTTGTTGCCTAGAGTTTCCGATTCACAGGGGCATATTTGCAGGCAATGCTGCAACGATCAGCAAGCTATGCAGTCAATACAATTGCACAATCAAACATACAAGACCCAAAAAGAAGTGACTGGCATACTAACAGGAATATTCGCTAATCGCTACTGCGCTCGTAGCAGGTGCATCGAACCTGTAGAGATTATTAAAGTATTACACTGCCCATAAAAAACGAATAAATAGAACGCAACTTACTGGAGGCTTCTATACTAATGCAATACATCCAGGGCGGAAACTATTGTTACGGCTAACGAATGCAGCCGAGATAATCAGGCAGGTAAACATATATACCAGAACCACAAATAAGTCTCAATCCGTGCAACCATAAATGATCTAGAAAGTGAAACGCATAATTTGTTTGAACCGCAACTTGCCGTTACTACTTAACAAGCACACATAACTAATACAGATTAAATCATTGTCCGGCAATGCTTTCCCGCCTATTTCTACTCATGATGTAAGCAAGTATGCCACATTTTAACATAAACTGTAGTGTCTGTTGCCTAGAGTTTCCAATTCACAGGGGTATATTTGCAGGCAATGCTGCAACGATCAGGAAGCCATGCAGTCAACAGAATTGCACAATCAACTTCAAAAAAAAAAAAAAAATTGCACAATCAAGATCAAACATACAACACCTAGAAAAGACACGATCGACGTACTAACAGGAACTTTTGCTAGCATGGCTCTTGACAGATGCATCGAAGGTGTACAGGTGACAATGTAGGAGGACATTTAGACACGGAATGGAAAATATATACTAGAGTGCAAGATAACCAACAAGAATTAAAAAGTAATCTATGAGCAGAACGAATTCAACAATAGAGAAGCCACCGATTCATGGATCATCCAAAGCAAGCAATGAGGGGAAAAGGTCTCGCATTTCATACGACATTAAATTATGCAATGCAATGGTGCACGCAGACGCAGGTGGGAGGAATTACCTTGGGAGAGCCTACATTTGGGGGCCTGGGCATCCTGCCCATCCTTCTGAATCCCGAAGAAATCGATGATCTTGGTCTGCTTCATCGGGAATCCTAAAGATCCCCACAAAAAAGGAGGAAAAGCAGTGAGATATAATAGCACAACAGGAATGAAGGAAGAAGATAAAGAAAGGAGAGCGGGGGAGGGAAATGGCGAGATGGAGGCGGCGAGGAAGGCGGGGGGAAGACGCACTCTTGGGGGCCTTGGCGGGTGGGGCGCAGACGGGGCAGAGCCAGGGGCCGATGGGGACCTTGGCAGCGATGGGGCGGAGGCAGAAGGTGTGGTGGCCGCGGTCGCAGCGGTCGCAGAGGAGCAGGTCGTCGTCGCGGTCGCCGGAGCCGCAGGTCTCGCAGATGAGGTTCTCGTAGTAGGTGTACACCCGCGCGCGGGCGACGGGGGGCGGCGCGTCGACGGCGCACGCGCGGCGCATGACGTCGTCCATGGAGCAGTAGCGCCGCGGCGTCGGCGGCTCCGGTGTGGGCGCCGCCGTGCGCTTGCGCCCGAGCTGCGGCGAGCTCGGCGATGACGACGGCACGGCGCGGCCCATGGCGGCGGAGAGGAGGGGAGGGGAGGGGAGGTGCGAGCGAGCGCGTGCGTCGCGGTGCGGTGCGGCCTCTCCTCTCGGCTCTCGGTGGGGGAGAGAGCCTGACGCGAGAGACAGAGAGACAAGGCCACAGGGGAGAATGGGGGCGATGACGTGGCGTCGACGGTGGACTCGCTCGCTTTTGGTAGCTGTGTAGGGGTCAGAGGCTCAGAGCCCGAGCCGGAGAGGCCTGCGCCGCGCCGCGTCGCGCCGCGTGAGGCTGAGGGCTGCTACAGCTACTGCCAGTCGGTCACTCTCCAGGTGTGACGGCCGCCAGTGAGGACTGAAGAGCGAGCGAGAGAGGAGACCGTTGCCATGGCTTCCACACCACACCGCCCGGCTTCTTTTTCTCGCTTTCCTTCCTTTTTGTTTGTTTGTTTCGTTTCTCGTGTTTCTTTCTAAAAAAAAATCCTTTTTTCATCTTTTCAACGATATCTTTTGTCGAGATATATTAAATTAAAGAACAAAAAAAAGTTACCATTTTCTATGGCATGGTTCACAAACTCGGTTCTTTTTGGCTTATTATTATTGCTTTCTAGGGATTGAGGGTAGAGCAATGCATCATGGTTTAATTGAAATTGTATATTATGATATACAAATTTCTTTCATTTGATTTTTTAGAAAAAAACAATTGACATGAATTAACAAAATTTTTCTGCCTTTACTTCCGTCTAGAGACAAAGTCTAGGGTTTCCTAGCATTCATCGTGTGGATGGGATGGAAAAGAAGCATTTAATTCCACCTATAAAATATCGACCAAAATTGGCAGGCACTTATATATTGTTGTGGAATTCTAAAAATAATAATGTGCCAACTCATCTAGTTTGTCTGTTGGTAAAAGAACCATGGATGACCAGTGCTAGCCCAACTTTTGTCACAGAATTAATGAGCAGCAACAAGAAACTCTCGTCACCAAAATCAAATGCCCGCCGCTCCCGTAGTACCCCATGGTTTTTGAATCTGGTCAAAGTTTCAATTGTCAGTTACTAGCAGTGGAGAGGTGCATTGTGTACACCATCTGTAAAACACATGCATGACAAGGTTATCATCACAAAAACTTATTGCATGACAAAGTTTTTGTTAAGGGAAAAAGGCCTGTATATGTTAGTGTAAAGGCACTGCTGCAGCTGTGCTCTATTCTCTCTCCTTTCCACACCATGTCACACCTTCATTTCATGCCTCTCCATCATGATGCTAAGATTTCACTAGATGTCTATACCTCGGCCCACTTCTTCTCAATCAAAGAACATAATAGTTATGTGATAACAAAAATACAAAGGTATAGTAAGGAGATGCCATGTAAGGGCATCCCGAGGGTATGAAAATAGGAGGTTATAAACCATATTAAGGTCAACCTTATACATTTGGTCGACCTTAAGAAGGCAGTAAAAAAGGCTTAAAGGGTAATAATTCTCAAGCCAAAGACCTGGCTACAAGCATATACAATATCTTTCTTTGAATCATGTAGTTCTCTGCCCCTCCCCCACGATCCAACTACCGAGGACTACCCCAACTACAACAGCCAGCAACCATATCCTCTTTAGCCATGAGCTCTTCTTCATGTTTCACCTGCATATAATAGAGAGAGAAGTTAGAACAACAACTATTCTTAAAAGGATCCTTGAGGAAGCAAAAGTTTGGCTAGAATGATGAAAGGTCCTTCGATCATGTCCAAACTCAGAAAATCCAAACTTTTAGCATGTTCTGAACTACGACCAACACAATTCTAACACATTTTGCCTAGTTTAGTTTGTCCAAACCATCCCACTATCCCAATTTCATCCAAGCATCCTATCATCCTGGTTTTCTCAAATCATCCTACCCTCTCAGTTCATACTAAACACCAATCCATTTAGTATGCCAAGCAACTTCAAGCACTATGATTGTGATTCACCAAGTTTCCAGGGTCACCAACATCAAGGAAGGACTTTGCACTCATGATGCAAACAAGTACATAACATAAATTGTATCCTTCATTATATAGAGTCTCGAATCACATTGGCATATTTTCAGGCAATGTTGCAATGATCGGAAAGCCATGCGGACCATACAATTTCACAATTAGACATAAACACAAAATGCCAGAATTACATACTGTCAGGAACTTTTGCTAGCTCTTGACAGACGCATCGAAGGCACATTGGGGAGAAAAGAAAGAAATTAGATTAGAATGCAAAGGTAACCAAATAGAATTCAGTAATACGAAGTTGTTGTTTCATGGATCATGTCGCCCAAGCAATCAGGACTTCTTTTTCACTCTCCACAGTGGCCTGCGCTCTGTGCTGCCAATCACTCTCTAGTTATGAGGACTAAGGAGTGAGGTGACCATTGACATTGCCAATGTCAAACTCTCATGTCTCTCACTCTCACACATGGTCCATCTAACCACCGGTTTCTTTTAGTCTTTTTTCTCGTGTTTCTTTCTTAACTTCATTTTTCCATCTCATCAACGATATCTTTTTGAAGAAATAAAAAACTAGAATTTTTTTCTTTTCAGTGGAATATTTTTCAAACTCGATTATTTTTGACTTGGTGCTAGAGATGAAGGGTAGAACAATGCACAGTGACCCAAATTATATATATGATTTTACTATTAAAACAGTGACTCCCTAGTTTGGGCGTGAAGAGTACAAAAGATGCCTGCACCGCCACTTGAATCACTTCCTCAGGGGCGAAACAACTTTCTGTCCATTTTTCTCATATGATTTTTTCTTTGACATGAATCAATAAATTTAAAATCCCTCTACCTTTACTTCATTCTAGAGGGATTAGGGTGAGTGATTTCCTAGCGTCCACCGTGTGGATGGGCTACAAAAGAGCAATTTATTTCACTACTATAAAATAATTGATCAAAATTGGCAGGCACTTATTGCTGTAGAATTTTGAAATAAAATAATATGCCAGCTCATTTGGCTTGCCTGTTTGTGCCAACAAAAATCATGGGTGACCAACCCAACTTTTGCTACAAAATTAATGATTAGCAACAAGCGAATCTCATCACCGAAATCAAATGGCCACTGTTCCAATAGTAGCTCATAGTTTTTGAATCTAGCCAAGTTTTAACAAAAAAAAAAACATATTTTTTTAAAAAGATCTGTTGACAACAAAAATGTACTGGCACATGTAATGGTATTCCCTAATCGGCGTCAACAAGATCTAAGGCTCAGATCTCATCGCCAAGGATACGCGCGAACGAAGGTTATAGCAAGAGCCAAGTCACAAAATTGAGCTAAGGCTCAAGCATTTTCAAAGTGCACTTTAATATTCGCAATCTAACATCTGTTCAAAAGCTTTATAATTTGCGGAGGAAAATCAAAGCTGAAAGCATCTTCATACTCTCAAAGAATGCATATCGGCTTGCAAAAGGCGGCATTAAACTGCACCAAAGAGATCTGATGGTTCCATGTCAACAAGTTCGACGGATGATACGTAGCTAGTAGTAGGTTTCTGAATATCTCTACTATAATCTTTTGGATTTTCATTGCTGGTGAAATGGAAATGGAAAAAAATCCATGTCGTTATTCAACGTAGTAATGTTGTATGCAGTTTAGTGCTATCTTTGTTATTTCCAGCTCCTGATTGTTATATAAATCTGCTATATGTATTAAATATGCAATATACAGTCGTATATATGGTTTGTACGGAGTTGACGATTAACTAGATTCTTTTTATTTGAGCTATCATGTGCAACACAGATCCGTGTCCTTAGTCGATTGGTTTAACTAATGCCTCTGTTGAAGTGTGGATCAATTTGTAAGTTGATTCATACAGCAAAAGATTGAGACTGCCACCACTGAAGAAAAGGATACGGTTTTTGCTGAAATCATGACCCAGGCTCTGACGGATTGACACTAATGGCAGATGTATTTGGGAATTATAAAAAAACATATGTATTTGAGAATTATGCAGTAAGTCAGAAGGTATGGGGAATTATATATATATATATGTATCAATCAGGCACGTGCACCGCTTTCTCCATCCCTTCCCGCCCTCTTGTGTGCCCTATCTCATTGACAAACAAATCACTGTCCCGGGAGGCTGCAAAATTGTTCTTTAGGTACAGCCACAGCCGATCCTTGTACAGATTTAGTTTTGTTGGTTATAATCTCCTTGAGTCTATTGTACACAGAACATCAGCATTTTTGGCAGGAAAAAAACATTATTTCGTCCTTGGAAAATTTTTATTTCGTCCATGTGTCTTCTTCCAAAGTTATAACTATCATGCTCTTGATACCTAATCTAATCTAATTCCAGCACAGCCCCCAACCCAACCGCCCTAAAACCTCCTATGCATATATATAAACTGATAAACAAGAAAAGAGGGAGAGCCCCAACTCTTGCAGCTCTGGAGCTCACACCTCATTAACCAATCTTCTTTCTTCAACCAGCGCGTTTCCATTTTGTTCCTGATTTCCTGTGCATCCGATGAAGGTACCAACCTTCTCACCGACAATAGCCTTTGCAATGTTCCCAGTCTTTTGCAAGTTGAACACAACAACTGCAAAATGACAAGATTAGATTAAAAAATTTAAAAATGAATAAAAATCAATATAAAAGTCAAACTGATAGCATCCGTACTGGGAATGTTGTTTTCTTGGCATAGTGTAATAGCAGTCATATCCATTACTGAGAGATCTCTTGTCGTAACTTCATGATAGCTCACAGTCTCAAGAAGGCGGGCATTTGGGTTATGCCTGGGGTCCGCATCATACACACCATCAACATTTGTCGCTTTAAGCATTACCTCTGCATTGACTGCTCACATGATAATAGCAGAAAAAGGGTCAATGGTACAATAAACTAAGAAAAAAAAAGGAGAAACTAACGAAACAGTGTTGTTCATCCTAGAAGTCAGTCTAGGAAAGCCAAGGTCAAGCTCACAACATGATAGCATGATTCCATAGGCATGCTGCACCTTTTTTTTATTATCGAACATGCAGGAGAGCTGTGATCATTATATTAAG